AGTCTAGAGCAGTAAAAGCAACCAAGTGCAGGAGTTAGGTGGTGGTTGTAGTTGTTGCTTTTGCTTTTGCTTTTTTGCCTCTTGACTGTGGAGTTGGGAAGAGGCAGCCCTGCTGAGGCAGTATGCCAGTCCTGGGTATAGCACCACAGGATGGTGCAGAGAGCTGCTGACATGAATTAATGTTCCCTGGTGTGCCTGGCAGATTGAATGAATCCCAACTGTCTTCAGCAGCATTTGTCAGCCTGTACATAAACAAGCAGGAGCTGTAGTTTTTATTTCTGTGTTCATTTGGCCTCTGTTTTGCTTTCTAAATCAGCATTATATTAGACAGGGTTAAGAGACTTCCACTACCACAGCTCAGGTGTGATTTATGCTGTTTTCTCTTGATTTTGATTTTCAGTTCCAAGTAGGATGTGATGGTTTTCCTTCTTCCCCATTCTTTACTGTTACTAAAGAGGAAATGTGGTGTTACCTGTGACCAAATACGCCCCTCTATGATGAGCTGCACAGGAAGCAGAAAGCAAAATATTATGCTGCTTTTAAATAGGTGGTAAATTCCTTAATGGCTACTTGGTTCCATCTTTCTGTCCTTTGCAAGGGCAAAGCTTCTGTTGACTTCATTGAGATGGCCAGGTGAGGGGTTGCAGAATCCCAAAATACTCCTGGAATCAATGAGAGAAACTCTGGTTATGCTCAGCTTGCATTTGCACCATGTAAGACTGAATTTGCTGCCTGTACTATGGGGCTCTACAGCTGTAAAGGGTTGGGCAGCTTCTAGTTGGGCCCTTGGGTTCTGCTTTCAGAGGAAATTTCATAATGCACATGTGGCCTCACTTCTTTGCTTAGTGTCAGAGATGATGAACTACAAATGCAAAGTGGATGTGTTGGTAGAGGAGCACAAGGAAGAAGGTGCCCTGAGCCCAGTCAGCATTGTGCCATACTGTAGGTATGGAGCACGCTGTGTGTCTCCCAGGAGGAGAGTCCTGGAAGTCTGCATGAAGTAATTGATTATGGGTTTTGGCATGTCTTTGGAAAAATAAGTTTCTTATTTATATTTTGAGTGGTCCTTTCAGCCTGGCTGTTGGATTGGAAAATGTACCCCTGCAACTTGAGTATGGCACTGTGTGGATTAGCAGCCTCAGCCTCACCAGTTATCAACCTCTCCAAAAGCAAAATGCTACTAATGAGTGAAGCAGTTGGTCAAATAGGCAAACCTCTTTTGAAGGACACAGAGTGAGAGGCATGAAACTTCTAAATTCCCTCAGTAGGTGACCTGCTAATGGTAATTTACTCATTATGCAGAGATGAGAGGTTTTCCCAGTGCTTAGAAGGTGGAAAGCAGTTGAGATGAAGTTTGGTAGTGTAAGTACCAAGGTTCTGTATTTTTTGCTCCTAACAGAAATACATGCTGTAAAGTTGTAGGTGAGTTTTTAAATTTTGGGATTTTTTTTGGGGAAACAGAGGAGAAAAGCCACCTCTGGATTATTCACCAATTAAAGGATGATCATGTATGATGCAGCCATGAGAAAAGTGTTAGGGGATGTGCAGTTAAGGCTGTTCATTCAGTGTCTATAATGCTGCATAGAAACCTGGTCACCAGCAGCCAGGAAAAATGATCTGAAGCTGGACCAGGCACAAGTAAAGGTGATTAGACCCTGATTTCTCCCTTTTACATTATCTTCAGAGTGTAAGAGCCTGGTACAGCAGACTGGCAAAGTTAAATCTGGTATCTTGTCACTCAGTATTTCAGCTGAAGGCAAGTAGTGATCCCTTAATTTTACTAAGTCAAGGTGCAAGCAAATTACAAGTAATTTAGTAATTAGGAATTCGAAATATTATTAATTGTCAAAGTAATAGGATCCCTGTAGCAGTATAATGAAAACAGAAAACTAATTATTTTACACAGAACATTGATCAGCTTTTGAAATGGGTTAGGAGTGTGATTATTTGTGATGGTGGGAGCTGATAGAAATCTCTTTCTGGTCTATGTTTTCCTGTTAGGCCAAGGGGATGTGAGCTGCTGCTGCCTGCAGGAAGGGGTGACATCTGCCAGAATGCTGCTCTTGTCTGCAGCTTATGGAGGGGCTGACTCCCTGGAAAGCTGGGGCTGTAACCTGAGTGTTTGTCTGGCAGAGCCAGGAGTGGCTGCCTGAGCATTTTTAGGTGGCCCTTCCCAAGCAGTGTTGTTCTCATGCCAAATCTCAAACTGCTTCTGCTTCTCCTAATTTTCTTGGGAATTACTGGTTACAGAAATACTGAACTATAAAATAATGGTTATAGTCATTATGGTTTATAATGTAGAAGGTAGTCCCGTGAGATTTAATTTTGTGAGCTGTTTTTTTGTGTGTCATTTGTTTTGGGTATCTGTCCCACATTTGGTCCTTGGCAGGTGAAAAATGTGCAGATTAGTATTTTGTATCCCTTTAATTAATTTGGTGTGACTCTCTTTTTCCAATTAATTAGGCCAGAAAAATGTTCAAGAGGACTTTGCTTTTGGGCACTGATTTAAAAGAAAAATAAACCTCATTACTTGCACAATATTGGAAAATTCATGTTCATGAAGCTTATTTGTTAAGGGTCTATCATTAGATCATGAAACTCATGTAGTTACAATTTTTCAGCCCCTCTTGATTAATTCAATGTTGCAAAGAGGGTTTTTTTCTTGTTTTCTTCTAGAAAACTGTGATTTCGTGTGACTGGGCATAATACATTGTTATGTTTGTTTATTAGCCTGTATAAGAGAATGACAAAGGGCTTTTTTTTTTCTTCTTCTTTTTTTTTTTTCTTTTTTTCTTTTTTTCTGGCCCTAATATTCTTCAGTGAAACAGCTGTTAAGGGAAATGTTCTTGTCACCTGGTCAGAAGAAAAGGGAGAGAAATTCCCAAGATGTTGTACAGGTTCTCAGTGTGCTTTCAGGGCCAATCTTGAAGGAATTTGGAGTATGTGAGTTTAACTGCATGGCTCCTGTGAAGTGTGATTAATGTTATCTGAGAGCTCTTTGTAAATTCATGAATACTGTGTAATCTAGATTAAAATGTAATCTAGATTAAGACCAAATCAGCATGTGTGTAGGGTTTGAATGTTTTTTTCCTGGAGTTTACAGACTGGGAGGAGTGTGCATACACCATGAAAGGTCAGATGTATCCTCCACAGTTAAGGTTCCTGACTTTCAGACAGCTTCAACACAACATGTTGAGGAGACAATCTTGGGTTGAAGATGGTAGGAGATAAATTCTAGTTGCAGGCATTCAGTGACGAAGCCAGGCAAGACGCCCTCCTAGACTCCTTTGTGATTAGGAAGGATTTGAGGGATGTGGTTGTAGGTGGGATGCCTTGGCCACAGTGAAACAAGTAATGAGTCCAATGTTTTCTTTAGACCTCCTCTGCTGTTAATGTACTTGAAAAAGCCCTTTTTGTTATCTGAAGTGATGCCTCAAGCTCGTCAGTGTTTAAGAAGCATTTGGACACTGCCCTTAACAAGATTATTTAACTTTTAGCCAGCCCTGAATTGACCAGGCACTTGGTTTACACGATTGTTGTAGGTCCATTCCAACTGAAATGGTCTGTTCTGTTCTAACATACTGAAAATTTCTGTTGTGATTTAGAAGCCTAAAAATTCTGGAAAGCATTTACTGCATTAAGCATGCAAGTAATAAAGCTACATACTAAAACCCCAGAAAGCACACATCTACCCAACTCCCTCAGGATCTTGGCTGATCCCATTTCTTCAGACCACGCTTCTTGACTGATTCCTCTTTCTTTTCTCATCCTCTTTCCTGCTGTTTTCCCTTATTAATGAGCTTTCCCACCTGCCTCGCTCCCCAAAACACTTCAGCACTTGACCATCTGTCACTGCTGCTGTGCATCCATACTGCTATAAAAGAGAGCGCCGACCTTGAGCTGGTGTGCGTGATCTGTGACAAATAGCTTACAAACTGGCAAGTGAACCAGCACTGCAAATAAATTGCCTGATACGTTGCACGTGCATGAAATGTGGAGGCTGCTAAAAGTCTAAATGCTCAGTCAGTAGGTACAGATCTGGGAAAAAGATGTGTGCAGTAAATGTGCAGAGGTTTGCAGTGTAACACGTGGATCTGTGTGTGTTTGCCGGGCAGTGAGTTTCAGACCCTGCCCTAATAACGTGTTTGATTTACGCGCTGACCTCAGTTATTAGCTGCAGCTTAATATGCAGCTTTTGCAGATAGCTTCCCCCCCTCAAAATGATAAAATGGCTGTGTGAGCATACTGAGACTGAATGTATTTTCAAAAAAAGATTATTTTTGGTTTGTTTGAGACTAAGCTTAGTTGAATCAGCAGAAAGACTTTTTTTACTTCCTTACTCTAATTGTAATTGTAAGCTGAAATTCTAAATCAGCTGCTTAGTCATTGGTAAATTATGAAAATTATGCTGTTCTTCAGTTGTTCTAAAAAACACGTTTATTTCTTGGGTTTTTTCCTCAAAGAATGTTTTCCTTGAAACAAAAAGCTGAAGAGCAACTGCAAGAATCCATGTTTTTTGAAATATCTATCATAGTATAGGATAGGTAAACATGACAGGTGCTCAGATTTTTCTGACAATTTAGTTTTATACAAGTAATTTGCAATGTTTTATAAAATTCAAACCCGAGCTGAATCCAGTCTTAGATCTACAAAGCAAGACTGTGGTTTGCCAGGAGAAGGGGTCCCTATGCCATCAGGTGAGGCTTCCAAGTGCAGTTGATCTTCCTATCAAAACTTGTCCTCAGAGTCCATGCCCTGTAATGGAAATGATGCATTGAATCAGTAAGGGCTGGTTTCGTAAATTCAGTGGGATAAAGAACAGCACGAGATAAAGGAGGTCTGGCTTTTTTGTGTTTGAGGAAAATGAGAGATGGGTCTGTTCTCTGTGGGATGAAAGGAAGTGGATGGTCCTGCCATGGCAAGTCTTTGAGACCTGGCAAAGCATGTGATAGTTCTGATTTATTAATGACACTTTCTCTTGGCGGGTTATGTTTTAACAGTTTCATTCCTTGGCTCCGATGTACTACCGAGGTTCAGCAGCAGCTGTGATAGTGTATGATATCACCAAACAGGTGAGACCTTTGGGATGCTTTTTGCCTGTGTTAACTCCTCTGTTTGGGTCTGAGTTGCAGTTAAACCCCACAACTGCAGAATTTAATTTGTCTGGCATGTATATGCTTCAGTAGTTTGTGTAGATCTGGGTGGAGGTGTCCAACTGCCTTAAAACATTAAATAAAAAGTCCTGCTTCTGTGTTGTTTCAACTTCATGTAGACAAAAGGGTTGTGACTGCATTTTGTCAATGTTTCTTTAGGTTTCCTCTAAGAAGACAGGATTCATATCCTGCAATACACCCTACCACCACCACCTATGTTCTCTGTGTTAACAAAAAGCAGCTGTAGCTTTGTCATCTGAGCAGAAATTGTTTGCATATTACTGATTTAAAAACTAATTATTTTTATCTAAGCATATCATTTTATGTCTGTATTGCAGGCGTTATGTCTTAATTTTCAAACTGGTAATGAATTCATGAGTCTCTAACCTTTTGTCTCAACATTATTCATTTGGAATGAAAATCGTATTTTTAGATCCTTAACTTCTCTGGCTCATTTCTCAAGCAGAGGAGGCTAGGAGATTCCAGCTGAATGCATCTTTCACTCCTTTTGGAAGAAACCCCTGCTGATGTAGCAGAGTTAGAGGCAGTGCTAATGGATGGATGGCCAGGAGAGTTCACTGGCATTTTATTCCTTTCTTGCCAATTGAAAACTTATTTACTGCAAGGTTGGGACGGCTGGTTTGGTTCCCCAATGCACTGGTGTAATGATCTGTCGCTGACAGTGGTGGTCACTGTTGTGCAGCAGTGCTGTTCTCCACTGCTAATTTGCCAGGAAAAGGTGAGGAAGAGCAAATCGTGCTGGATTGATACTTTTGATTTAAATATCTTACAGCTGATCTTGTAATATATTGTAAGAATAAAATTTTGTTTTGCCAGCCTTTCTCCAAGCTTATGTGGAACGACTCTCAGAATAAAGAGGGGGAAATAGGAGAGGAAGGTCAATCTGTATTTCACTTTCTGATGCTTAATATTCAGTGTTAATCATTAAAGCAGAATGGATTTTTTTTTCCCAAGTGACTGATAGGGCTCTGCCTTCGGTGATACTGATGCAGCTATTGCTGATTTAGAGACAACTCTTATGTGCATTTCTGAAGGGGAAAAAAATATTTATCATCTGTTTGGGAGCTCACTTTGTCGAAGAATTTCAACTGTGCTTTATAGTTAGAATCTCCAGAAATAAGTGTTATCTTAAAGCTACTACTTCACTGGTGTAAAGAAATATAAAAATTACTATTAAAAGGTAGGTAGCATCAGATACAGTTTGATTTTGTGCTTGGAGGGGAAAAAAGCCAAGTGAATTGTCACCCTCTCTTCCGTTTTATAATGAGTAAATTGAGTTTACCAGATCACAGATTTGGAAATGCAGGGAAGTGGGCATCTCTGTGGAAGCTCCATTGGATATTAATTAGACAAATGAAGCTCACACTAGGTGAAGGAAATGAGCTATTTGATAAGCTGGGGTAGTTTCTTCATCACTGGAAGTTTGATATTTGGTGCTGCGTTGTAGCAGGGAGGAGGGGAAGTGGAAAAGAGGGAAGCATCCAAGTTCAAGAATTAATTTGAAGAAGCCTTATAGCCTAAAGCTTGAAAAGCAAATTGCATAGATAGATAACTGATCTTCCAGTCTTGTGATCTATATAATCATTATTGCATTAATACTGTCAAAGCTGTGCTCCTCTGCTTTAAAAAATAGGCATATACATTGGCAAAGAGTGTGCTGGTAGCTTATTTTGTTATTTCTCTGATGCAGGATTCATTTCATACTTTGAAAAAATGGGTGAAAGAACTAAAAGAACATGGTCCTGAAAACATTGTAATGGCCATCGCTGGAAACAAATGTGATCTTTCTGATATCAGGTAATACTTTTTGTTGTTGTTTTCATTGTGGTAACTATATTGTTTCTTCCCTTCAGGTAACAATTTTGTTTCATTGTTATAACAGTATATAATTTTGGCCTCCTGTGCTAGAATCAGTGATTCTGGCAAGGCACAACCTCAACAACAACAGCGCAACGTGAATTACGTTTTTTTTTAACTTCTCTTTTACTGCCCTTCCTCTTTATTTGTTCAATATCTACATCCTTTATCTGCTGAATCACTGGGAATGGAAAAGGGTTCTCTTTTTTGTTTCTCCCTTCCATTCTATTAAAAGGTGCAGAATGTAGTAAGTGATGAGCAAAACCAGCAATATAAAGATATGAGGGTGGGCAAGAGGTAAAATATTAATCACAGAACTTTGAGAACTTGTGATTTGCAAGAACTGAAACTTTTTCATAATAATGGATGTAAAAAGTGTATTTTTGGGATTTTTGGAGCATATCCTCATGTAAAACTTTAGTCCCCTGTGTGAAGCAAAGAACCTCCTAGATAAAAGAGGGAAGGGATGAATCCATACCCCTGCGGAAGAGCTGAGATGATGCTATTTGTAATGAGAGTGAAGCTAGAATTGCTCTTCTGTTTGTTAGCTGTATTTTGGATTTGCATTTATATTTCAGGAAATGGAAGCACATTCTGCTGTACAGTAGTGATTCTGTTTGTCAGTCCATGACTATTATTTCTTGCTTCATCTATGAGTACAAACTCAATGATCATATTTGATTCTTTCCCCTTATGACCTCATAGCCTCTCATGGCTGTTCAAATACATCCCCATGTCTTTAGTTATCGTTACTTTGGCCCAGATTCACCAGAGCTCTGGAGCACGTGTGTAACTTTAAGTAAGTGCTGCAGTGCTTTTCTTGAATCAAGGCCTACGTGAGGGTTTGACCTGTGTGGGTTTTGGTTTTTTCTCTCTCCTGCCACTCTCAGCCATGAACCAACACAAAGTTGCAACTCACTGCTTTCTGTAAGTACTGAAGAAGCCCTAATTCTGGCAAACTCCTGGTTTCTGTTGGGCTAAGAATCAGATGTATTGGCATCTCCTGTGTGATGTTGCGATATGCTGGTCAACATGGTGAAACCGAGTCCAACAAGACAAAAATTTCCAGATATGAAGGAGAAAAAAAGAGGAAAGGATGGTTATAAAAATAAAACCAAAAGCCAGTTAGCACAAATCAGGGGTTTTGGTTACCCTGAGAGTCACTTTCAAAATTATTGTATTATAAGTGGTCTCAGCAATACAGTTGCCAGATTAACTCAAGGGTAATAAGTTTGGAGATGGTGACAAATGGCAACAATTAAAAGAGTCCATAACCAGCCCTCTCCCTGCTTGCTCTTACACCAATTGAAGGCTTTAAAAAAATCCTGCATCCCAGAAATGTTGTGAAATACTGGGCTTCCTCACAGAGCAACTGTGATCTGTGATCTTCTCACCATATTATTATCAACCACTACCTGTCGTTTACTGATTGCTGATCATCCAATTCTTGCTCCTGTTCAGCTGGTATAGCTCTTCTTTGCACAAATTGTTTTGCTGTGTGAATGGTCCTCATTGTACTCCATAAGCTAATGTCTCTTAATCTTTTTGGTTTTTATGGGAGAGGACATTTTTTCTCCTCGTAATTATGAATACTTTTTTGTGCAGTTGTTCTTTCTGCATCCCCCAATCCTATTTCTTGTTGAAGTTATCCAGTGATGTGCAGCTAAAGTTATTTTGGTGGAAAAATAGAGAGTAGGCTATCTCATATGTGATATATTTTCACAGTTCTTCCAGAAATCTGATTGTTTATGCAATGCATGCAGCTTTTTGCATTATCTGTCTGCTTTATGTCTTCAGATTTACTTCAGTAAAAATGGTTTTAGGTGAAGCATGTCACCAATTTATCAGATTGTTTCCGATGAGTAGAAAATACACATGCCTTTAGGCTCAGAGAATTTACAAGTAAGATAATGTGAGCACACAGGAGCAAGCTGCTGTTTGTATGCATTTTTGGCATCTCTGCTTGGTTTTGTAGAGCTTTTGGCAGATGTTTTGCTGGATATCAGAGCTACAGCTGCTTTTAAGACCAATATGAATAGATGCAAAAGAGGTCAAGCTGACCGGGTTCAAGTTGGTTTGATTCTGCCATCTCTGAGTGTAAGAGATAATGTAAGGAGGAATTATTGTATTTCTCATAATCATTGACCAGGCTACCCTCCCTGTTTAGCATCTAAAATTTGGTTTTGAGCCGCCAAGATGTCCTTGGGACATTTAGGGATCACACTGCTTTTCCTCAATGTTGTTAATAAGCTATCAGCAATTCTTGGTGCTCTGTTGAAGTAAATTTCTTCTCCACTTTGAAGGAATTTCTACAGATAGGCAAGCAATTTTATCAACTATAAATCCTCATCTTTGTTGTAGTACTGTCAACTCTTAGAACTGCTGAATGTTCAGCATACTTCTAAGTAATAGGAATAAGGCTTTCTTCTGACAGGTCATTAAAAAGTACTTTTAAAGACAGGAGCTGAAACTTCAATGTTAAAATGTTGTAAGTGTCCATAATACTTTTTTGAGCATTATAGAATTCAATAGTTGTAACACTAGCTAAGAAGTGTTCACTTCAATGTGGTTCACCTTCTTAACAAATTGTGTTCTCTGGAAATCCTTGGTTAAGAGAATTCAGCAGAATTTCATGCTCAGATCTTCATTCAATGCATCCATAATATTTCCTTATCCATAATTTATCTGGATTTCTTCAAATCCTTTGACATGGTCCTTTACAACATCTTCTCTAAACTGCAAAGAGATGGATTCGATGGGTGGCCTGTTTGATGGGTGAGGATTTGGTTACACTGTCGCATCCGGAGGGTGGTGGTCAATGGCTCAGAGTCCTGCTGGACACCAGTGGTGTCCCTCAGGGATCCATACTGGGACCAGTGTTGTTTAGTACCTTCAGCAATGACACAGAAGGGATCGAGTGCACCCTCAGCAGTTTGCTGATGACACCGAGCTGGGTGATGTGTCTGACATGCTCATACTGGGAGGAAAGTGTACAAGGAGTCTCTGGATTGGTATATTGGAGCTGTGGGGTGAAGCAGTTGGTGCAGATTGTGCTGTTGCTCAAAAATCAGGAGTAGAGCTGGTTACAGATAACAGCACACACGGGCAGATCCAGCTCTGCCACTTGGCTCAGGGAGATGAAAGGCCAGCATGGGGCTAGCTTGTTTAAAGCAGAGGTCTTTTTGAATGTTGTAAACTGCATTTGCCAGCTTTTGACATATGCAGTATTGGTTGCAAAATGAGATTGTTTGGTCTGCTGGTGATTTTAGGATGGTGTCAGTTTGGTGAAATGGCACAGAATCGTGTCTTTCCCCAGTGAACTGGCACTCACAGATTACTGTTGCTGATGTTCTTGAAGTCAGTGGTTTTCTTACTTACTTTAGAATCTCTCATTTCCTTGCTGCTTGCAGACCAAGACATATGATGCTCTTATCGTTTTCATCCACAATGTTGTACCCTATCTTGTTTGAACATTTGGCATGTGGAGAGTGCTTTTCTTATCAAAGTCAAATATAAAACACAAACAAATGTGGTTTTCTTTAAATTATCTTCCTTTTCTCAAGGCATGGATTCAGCAGCAAGTCACAGAAATCTGCAGATTGATAAATTTTGTTGAAATTTTGATATATTTTAATAAGATGATCTAAATGCCATATGAAAAAACACAGTACTGCTTTTATGGAGATGAAGAGCATAATAATGCTCAGGCTGTGTTTCAGGTTGTTTGGAGGTTTTTTTAAATTAATTAACTTTTTTTTTTAATTTGGCTTTCTTTTATTTATTTATAAATGTTTGGGTTTTTTTTTCCAGGGAGGTTCCTATGAAGGATGCCAAAGAATATGCGGAATCTATAGGTGCAATTGTTGTTGAAACCAGTGCAAAGAATGCTGTTAACATTGAAGAACTTTTTCAAGGAATAAGTAAGTATATGTTGTCTTTAATTAATTAATTTTGATTGTTTAGAAGTTTTCTGAAAATAGCTGTCTGTTTCAGGTCTATAAAGTACTTTCCAAAGGACATCAATAAATCCGACAAAGCCTGTGGTATGGCTGCTATTTATGCAGATGTAAACTAAGAACAGATTTCAATACACCAGAGCAAAACATAGTAGATAGTAGAGGGTAAGACTGTTTCTTCTAAATCTGTATATAAATCCTGGCCTGGATCACATCTGCTGTTTCACACCAAGCCTGCTGTAGAGGCAATGCTGTTGATCTTACTATTATGTTGCTAAAAAACTTAAATGTTGATAAATGCTCCTGGAGGGCATTGGTAAGTAGAAGGTAGTCATTGCAGTGGAATACATTAAAAAACCCCAAACAAATACATTTCTGTCCAGGTCTTCTAAACATGATGAGATTGGCACTTGTCATGAGGAGAAGAAAAACTTCTTCAGTTTGCCTTCCAGGGCTTCCAGTGCTGGTCAGTGTTTGCAAGTGGGAAGGATCTTGTGGGCTGGAAGGGACCTCATCAGAACTCGAGTCCAACTTTCTGCCCGAGCAGACTTGGTAGTGAATTCAGACCAGATTGCTCAGGCCATTGTCTGGCTGGGCACCAGAGCAGAGGTTCCACAACCTCCTTGGGCAGTTGTTCAAATAGTCCTCATAGTGACATCCCCACATCAAGCCTGAGCCTATTCTCATTGAATTCACTCCCTGTCCTGGGTGGACTTCACTGTTTAGTTTCTCAGCAGCCCTTCCCGTGGGCACTGGCAGCTTTGTGGCTCACCAAAGCCATCGTTTCTCCAGGCTCAGCTGGCCCTCTTTCCTTGGCCTCTCCTCACAGGGCAAGTACTCCAGCCCTCACTGTCTTGCAGCCCTCCTATGAGTTTGTGCCAGCTTGTCAACATTTTTCTTGTGTTGTGGGGCCCAAAGCAAGTGTGACCCAGGTGGTGTTAGACCACATCTAAGAGGGGTTAACTACTTTGCCTAATGTTCTGTCTTGGCTCCTGTGGCTTGCTGCTGGCTGTCTCTGCTGCCAGAGCATGCTGCTGGCTCATGCTGAGATTGCTTCCCTCAGGTCCTTTTTGGGCAGAGCTGCTTCTCAGGCAGCCAGTCCCCAGCCTCTCTCATAGCCAGGGGCTCTTCCTTCCCACAAGTAGTGCTTGGCATTTGTCCTTTCTGAAGTATGTAAAGGCTCCTGTTTACCCATATCTGCCTCCAGCCTAAGGCCCTATGAAGAGCAGCCTTGCCCTCAAGGATACTGAGTGCACCTCTGAGTTGGGTGTCATCTGAGGGTGCCTGTTTTTTCATCCTTCAGGCTCTGATAAAAGGTATTAAGCAAGGTAACTGGGCTGTGGGTAGACACATGCCATTAACCACTGACCTTTGAGTCGGATGTTCCAGCCAGCTACTCACACAGCTAACAGCCTGCCTATCTAGACTGTAAGATCCCGACTTGGACATACCACGATGCTCTAGGGAGAAGTATCAAAAGCCTTGCCAAAGTCAAGGTAAACAACATCCAGTCATGCTGCCATAGAGGACAAACAGGATGGCAGGACATGGTTAACCCTCGGTAAGCCCATGCTGACTGGTCCTGGTCACCGTCTTCACCTTCTTGTGCTCAGAAGCAGCTTCTCAGAGGATTTGCTTTGTGGTTTTCCCAGGAAGCAGAGTGAGGCTAACCAGCCTGTAGAGCCATGGCTTGTTATGTTCCTGTTTGAAGACAAATATAAAATTCACCTTTCTCCACAACCTTTCGAAAACAACAGGGATGATAAAGAAGGATGTTGCTGCCTATGCATCCTCAGGCTTGTATGGGTTAAGATTTCTTAAGAGATCCATGGTCTGATCTTCTTCAGCTACTGCTGTTTTGTCCTCTCCCTGAATCCTCTTCTGGGGTGCAGAGACCTAGGAGACAGCATGTCCACACACTCAACCTTGTTTCCCTGAAGTTTTTTTTTTTTTTTTTTTTTTTATTTCACATATTTTTAATCAGCTAATATTGTCTAACACACTTTGCCTGCCAGGGGGCCTGTGGAACTGTTTGCTCTGCTTACATGGGATGTATTTGAAATGGTTAATGAGAACCAGTATTCCTAGAATACACCGCCATTCTTTTGCCTCCTTTTAAAAAAAGAGGTGTGTGCCACATGGGTGTCTGGAGGAACTGGTTCTTCCCCATGATAGTTTACTTGTTTGTCTGCATCTGATGGTTGTGGATGTTCTTGCAGAGGAATTCATTCTTGCCACATAATTAGATAATTAGTTTCCAACTTTGATAGGCATTGCTGCAGCTGGCGGTGTGCACTGTCCCTAATAATTAATATAATAGACGAGGAAAATCAGCTAAATTAAGTTTAGTATGAACTAGATACCCAGGCAAGTGCACTTAATTCCACAGGCAATTACTTCTATATATAGATATTTGGTCTCAGTGGATCTACTTGTGACCTTATCAAGCACTCAGCAGAGAGAAAGGAGAGAATTGGTAGAGTATGTTTATAGAAATATAGTGGAAACCAAGTGAAAAATGCTTGATTAGCAGTAGAATTAATTAGTGTGATAGTGACTGGACAGAGAGTATTGATAAGTAACTTTCTGATGTTTTACACCACTTCAGTCTTAGTGCAATTTCCAAAAAAGTCTGTCTCTGTCCAAGTTGCATAGCAACATTTCTGCCTTTTCAGTGTATGAAATCCTCCTGTGGCAATGTCTCCTACTCTGTTGGCTAATTTTGTTTGTGTGATGCCCTAAAAGTCACTCTGCAGCTTTAGTTTTGCTTTCATGTTGCCTGAGAGCTCCTGCCCTTCTCTCTGTGTTGCTCACGAAGGGCATGGTGCAGCTCCCTGGCCTCTGAACAAAGAAGCAGCAATTTCTGTTTACCTTGGACTTTGCAGATAGACTGTATGTGTTATCTCTTTTATAGTCTAGATTGGAAGGATATTCCAACATGTGTGGAGAATTTCTCTATTAAATCCTCCTTGAAACTGATAGCCCAAGCATAAAGAGTAGACTTCATTTTATTTTAGCTAAAAAATTTACCTCCTTGCCTATGCTTTTTATTTCCCAGGGGCATTTTAACATAAAATTGTTTTCCTTCCTGAGATGTCTAACAACTGTCTCTTTCCAGGGACAATGTTGTGAATGGAGTGAAATAGTATGATAGAAAAAATGTATACTCATAATGATAGGAAGAAGGCATAAAGAAAAAAAGGGGAACTGGTATGTTTTGTTGACAGACAGATGAATCTTGGAAAAATAACAGAGATTGTAGAAATATTGCTTCATTTCTAAGGTTATTATATTACACTGTGCTTAAGAGATTTTTTAAATAAGTTTCTCTCACAATTTGAGGATTTGGCTTCTTAGAGGGATAGCTTCATAGCACAGTCTCAACACAACTCTATCGTCCTTAATTTGTCTCAAGAAAATACAAGATGTGAAAGACTAGAATCAGTAAAAGTTTCTGATTTTTTTGAAGGTAAAAGTTTCTGATTTTTTTGAAGGTGGGTCAAACTTGGCAGGAGAGGTACTCTGCAGTCACTGTACTTGGGCAAATAAGGGTGAGGAGGCAGAATGAGCACAAGAGTCAGCAAAGTCAGTGTTCTCTGAGCTGAGGAGTTTGCACTGAGCTGGGTAATGGGCTGCAGCTCCTGGGTTCTGTTGTACCCATGGGATTTCAAATGGTAAGCCACTGCACTTAGCCTGGGTTTGTTTAGCAGTGCCTGACTGAAGGCTTGCTGTGGTTGTGAAATATCACGTGACTGATTTATGTCTCTGTAAACATGAAATGAGTATTTTTAATACAGTTGTATATTCCTCACTTGAGCTAAATTCCCAATGTCTTTCTTTAAAGGTTTCTGAGATAAAAAGGGCTTAACAGTTCAGTGTTTCTTTAATTTGTTCCAGTAGTTCTTTTTTAATAGCTGAGTTTCTATAGGAACAAATGTTATTAACTTTTTATTCCCAGTCTTAAAAGAATCATAGGCACAGTGGCTCCTTGTCGCTGTTTTTTTGGCAGCAGCAAAAATGCCAGAAATATATTATGCAATAGAAGTATAATAAAGTTGTGCCTATGCAGGGGGTCATACCAGTCTGTATTGCCCCTTCTTGTTTGTGGGACTTTAGCCCACTGACCTTTGCTTGTACCTGGCTGGTTTTCAAAGACTAAACAAGCTTCCCTGTGTGTACTATCATTTAGTGGCAATCATACCCTTGCAATTCTCAGACACCTGTTCATTTACCAGCTCAAATAAGCCTTAGTTACCTTATTCAAATCTGGTCCACGCCCAGCTGTTTCTCCCCAGCCCGTGTGTGTTGCCTGCTCCCTCAGCGTGAAGGTGCCCCAGATATGAAAGAGCAGGTTACGTAAAAGCCGCCCTCGGTGCGCGGCAGGGCCGAGGCTGTGGCTCCCTGGTTAATCCCAGGCTGCACCAGCAGCTCCGGAGGGGAGCGGGTGGTGGGATGAGCAAGCTGCTGAAGAATATCTAGCTAAGCAAAACATGAAATAAACTTGGGCTTAAACAAAACAAACATTATGGCTATGGGTTATTTTCTTTGAAGTCTGGCAAATCATAGGACAATAGAATGGTTTGGGTTGGAAGGGACCTTAAAGATCATCTAGTTCAACTGCCCCACCACAAGCAAGGATGCCACCTAGTAGATCAGGTTGCTCAAGGCCCCATTCAACAAAAGTTGGAGATAGTGTGCTACCAAAGGGAGCAAGATTGAATCATTTCAGCATCCTCTGTTGGGGGTGAGAAGGAAGTGGGAAGAGCATTATCAGAACACTCTATGGAGACTATGCAAAGAGAGGTTAGCACGCTCACTCTTACTGATGCTGGTACTACTAGAAGGAGAGACAGGCTGATGTTTACAATCCAGATAAGAACATTCTTCCTAGATGAGGCTTCCTAATTAGAGCAGTTTCTGTCTTGGGATTCAGCCTTTCATGTGGTAAATGCTCAGTTATAAAT